GGAGCCCTTAAATTGCCTGGTAGTGTTGGATTGGCTTCTGCAGCAGCTCCCAGCCTGTCAGCGCGGTTGGGACACTGCGTCTCTCTGGTTCTCCTTTCTTCAATGATCATATTTCATGCTCCACAGCAGACATGCTGTAAAATCATGATCTATGAGACTCTTCACCGCATCCTCACCTGTAAGCAATAACTCCTGTCCCGTCAAACACTTCTGCTTTTCATGTTTGTGTTTTCCTCAGATTGCACCACATGAGGTTGATGCTGGTTTGAGCCGCAATAAACTAGGAGTGTCTGAGTGGATCTGTGCAGTCTGAGCCTGGGATTAGATTACAGAGAAATGTGGCTCCCACTCGTCAGTGAAAGGAGCTGACAGAAGTTATCACTGCCAGCTGTGATAAACGCCCACAGAGATCATCCAGAACTCAACATTCCTGACGCCCCTCTCTGCTCTGTGCACTTTGCCTTCTGCACAGCCCTCTGAAGCTCCAAGCTCACCGTCTCCATCAGGTGGAGGTCAGGGCTGGGACCTTGCTGCAGCTTTCACTCAGAGGTTTGCTGATCATCTGGTGCATTTTGTCCTGATGGTTGGTCCTTGTGTCGGTCTGAACGTTGAGGTTCGTTCTGCAGGTTTTTATCTGACCACCTGTCATCAGCGGGCAGTCGGTGGAGCTGCCTCCACTGCAACGTTTCCATCCACTATAAGGCGGTTGGAAGAAGAGATCTGGGACAGGACCATCAGCCCTCCGCCACCGTGCTTTGCAGATGGAGGAGGAGTTTTTGAGGTGTTTTGTACATCTGTGTTTTAGAGGATGACATGTTTGGTTCAGTTGATTCATCATTTTAAATCTGCAGGAGGCTAAACCTTTCTTGTTGTTTTTAGATCTGCAGCTAACCATGACTTTAATAGTCAACCAATCTTTTCATTATTTTTCCAGTCGTTCTCTAATCACAATAGTTTTTTTCTCCATCTTAACTTTTTGTCTCTCTTCTTCTAGTATGTACGCCTTTGAATCCTCCTTATTGCTGCTATCCTTCGCTATTTAATCTTGAGCTGATGTCTCCCAGACCTGATTTTGGATCCCCACCATGTTTCTTTAAAGCATCCAAAAATCAGTAGAGATGCATGTTGGAGCAGCTGGGCGTGAGAGAATGATGAAGTCAGAAAGACACCAGAGAGACGAGGCTGTTTCTGCAGCTAGATCACTTATTTGGTTTAAAAGTTAAACTGAGTCCAACGTTTGCAGAAAAAGGAGCTGCTGTTGTATCGGAGATCTTTGCAGAAACAATAATGTGAAGCTGTGGAAAAGCTCTCAGGTTGCACAGAGGCACTGAAGGATTGTGGGTCAGCAAAGTCCCTGGGTGGGGATCAGTTCCTGTTATCATGAGGAGGAGCTTTGTTCATGTGGAAGCAGGGGTGCAGGAAGAGGACAGTGTCCCTTAAGGACGCAATTCTCCACCATGCAGCCAAACAGGCAGTTTGACGGCTTCACATCTGCTGCGTATGGTTCATCAGGGGACTGAGGTGGATGAGCAGCATTCTGGGTTCAGATCCTGCAGGCTTTAGGGGCCGGGGGGTCAGATGGTGTTTGGCCTCCATGAGGACCAGCCTAACGCTCTCAGATGGCTGTGGTTCTACTGTCGTCCCTCAGTGCAGCGTCTTGGCCCGCTGCGGAGGGTGGAGCTGGGGAGCTCTCAGCGGCTCCATCACTCCTCCATTGGTCAAAATATTGAGGTTCTGGATGTGAGCGCTGACTCTGATTTGATATTCAGTTTATGAACATTTATTTTATGACCAGTGTGTTCACCCTGGATGGGTTTTTATTTCCTCCTAACAGCTTCTTGGTGGTTCAATTTTGGAACGGATCTGAGCAAAACAGAACCAGCGTCTCCTCTTACTAAGGACCTTTTTAGGTTTTCTGATCTGATTCTAAACATTGATAAATTGAAAACATAAATGTGTAATAACCAGATTATAAACAGAAGCAGAGCTCTGCTCTGCCCTCCGGGCCTGAAAACCCAAGCAGAGTGACAGT